ACCAAAACCTCTCTCACTCTTACACACATTCTAATCCGTCTCGGATTTTATGCAAAATAAATATGGTCACCCTATTCTTACCTCAAGATTTTCTTCTAAATTTACTTCTTTTTTTACTTCATTGAATAGATCAAGTTTTTGATGAAAAACCCCGACAAAAGCAAAATATGTCTGGACCAATGGATTTTCTACGAAAAGAAAGCCTTGTGATATTTAAAACCAAATATTCCTGAAATCAATTTATTCATTTTTTAAATAGATGCTCAAATAATTATTATATAAAAATATAATATTTTTATATGAATTTTTCAGTTATAAGAGTTAACTTACCTGAATAATATAAACACATTACACTCTTTTTTATGCACTATTTATTGAATAAATTATTATATTATATTATATTTATATTATTATATTATAGTTACAAACCTTAAGACTAAGGTTTGCATCATCACTAGTGTAAATAAAAAATAAATAAATTCAATTCAATATGGTCACATATTTCTCAAAATTACGTAAACAGTATGAGTAAACGTACAATGATATTTGATAAATAGTGCAAAAAAGAGTGCCTTATGTATATATTTTTTAGTTAATTTGTTTTCCACTCATAATACTTTTCACATGATATATATTATAAATCATTTTTTCTTTAAATTAATATAAAAACTTTAAATAGATATAATTCTGCATTTGACAGACAGTCAGGCGAGCTTTACTAAAAACAATAACATACAAACATGTTTGTTCTAATAAATGATCAAGGTGATCATACTTTGGTGGACTAACTAAAGCAAATAATTGAATTAATTGAGTTTAATCAACTAATAATATTCTCTAATCTATTAATAAAAATTACATTTAACTAGTTAGTAAAATATTACGAAAAGATGTTCAAAATCAAAAAAAATCGTTCTTTTCCCGGCGGGATAATACTGCCACGACGTCACAAAATAGTTTGTAAATAAGTAATTTTAAAACAAAATGTAATACAAGCAAATATTTAATAAGCACAAATAATTGCTAAAGCAAAATTCGTGGAAATCAATTGGATATCCGATATAACTCAATATGCATATAGAACAACTATATTTAACTAAATATACGCTTAGGAAGCGGATCTAAAAAAAATTGGCGTATCAGCGTATTCGGTCATCGAACGCAAAAAACTGATCGATTGATTTTAAAAAATAATCATATAATATTTGTATATGATTACGATATTTTTATACATTTAATATTTATTGTATAGCAGCTTTGCGAAGACGATAAGCGCACGCGATTTAAAATTATTCTGTAAACAATTTATTATTATAGAATAATATGTATGTAAATTATAGGAATATACTTATAAATTATATACTTGTAAACTTTATTTAAACCACTAATTAGAAGTCACCTGGTTTTCAGAATCCGTAAAATTGCAGTGCTTTCTTAAAGAATACAAGGAAGCCAATACGATTTAATCCAATATGAGAAACTCTAGAAAAAACTGCTCGATAAACATTTAATCAAGAGTATAAAGAATATGTCATTTATAAAGATGTATTTAGCTTATACACATTGGCTACATATAACTATAACATTCTCTATAATCATAAACTATAATATCAATAATTATACCAAAATATATGCATATATATATTTTTATATGTGAAATCAATTACTAATATACAATTTAATATTATATTTCGCACCACACACACTCATGTACATACATATAAATTACTGATTTTGCTAAATATATCAGTCGCCTTAGATTGTAAAAAGTGAAAAAGCCAGAACACAAGTGTAGACACCAGAATCAGAGTTTAATCTTACCAGAAATATGTGGAGCGTGTGAATTATGTAAATATTTGTGCAACGCATATGTACAAACATATATATATATATATTATATATATATATATATATATATATATAATCGATATTTCCTGGATTTTTTAATTAATTGATAAGGGTTTCTTTTCCTAACAATTAACCCAACAATAAAACACAATAAGTTTTTCTGTAGATGTTGAATTACGACGTTTCAGAACTAGGTAGAACAATATTTAAATATAGAATAATAATCTTAATAATACTCTTAATGATCATTAAGATTGTTATTCTATATTTAAATATTATTCTTGACAGGAGAATCTGATGATGGAACGTACTTAATTCCAAAACGTCGTAATTAAACATCTACAAGAAAACTTATTGTGTTTTATTATTGGATGAATTGTTTGAAAAAGAAACCCTTGTATATATATATATATATATATATATATATATATATAAAAAATGTAAATATATACTTTGTGTACTTATATACATGTGTGTGTAGTGTTACTAAATTTTAATAAAAAAAAATATTACAACAACAAATAATTAATAATTGTCATAGATAGCAACAAATGAAATCAGTTTGATGTTAAAAAGTCTAGTATTCGTACCAAGGATAGAAATTTTTTGTGCATATTGCACATGGTACAGCATACTTTTTAAGATGCGCCAACTTCGAGAGTGCTCGATTTGTTAACTTTCATAAAAAGCATAAGATCATTTCTCGCAAAGCAAACATTCTTGCAAGAAAAAATCTTCATACAACCATAGTGGGCACTCAGACACAATAAGTTTAAAGAATATTATGGTCGAAAAATTATCACAATTGAATATTGACCTAAACAGAATCACTTTAAAAAAACAAATTGCTAAATGATATCAATTAATTATGCCACTGTAACTAACGCAAAATCTGTTAGATATGCATTATAGAGAAAAAAAATAATACAACAAAATTATGGAAGCTATCCTATTATTAAAGCAAAATATATATTCAATAGAATTAATAATTCAAATTTGAAATAATTATTTACAAATACCTTTATAATTATATGTAAGAAATATAAACATGTTAACGTTAAAATATTTCATTAACCACATATACTGAATCCTACTACTTAACAAATATACATAAATATTTAAATATATAACTAATTTTCACATTTGTAGCCAAAGCATTAAACGCCCTAATCCTTTATTGACCTTGGAAAAGTTATCTAAAAACATTTTGTTCAAAACAGATCGATGGAAAAGCCAGTATCCGCATATTTAAATCTTGCCAACATATTCAAAATAGCAGTGCAATTTTTGTAATTAAACAAATTGGTAATATTATATGCCATCAAAGTTTATGAACAAAGTGCCGGTTCAATATTTATTAAATCATGATGTTTTATAATAAATATAAAGTAATTGTTTTTTCACCATTCAAAATGTTGCAATGCAAAAAATTATTGTCAAATGTTTTCAGTATATGTGTAAAAAGCTTCAATGAGCAATTTTGTATAGTTGGCAAAGTAGAAAAAATAGAAATGTAAATATGCCAATATTAATATAACATGTACAACATTTACTTGTATAATTAACAAGAATATACATTAAATATCAAGATACATGCAGTTTTACTAAACAATGACTGCTAATATAACTGTATCAAATATTTATAATCACTAGATATGTATATTACATATACCTAGTATAAAAAAGGTTATCAAATAATTAAATAATAATCAAGGCAAAATATTTGCATATGAATGTAGTATTGGTAGTTTCTGGGCTTATTTTGGATAACATCAGCTTACCAAGTGGTGCTTAACTTTTGGTGTTAAAACTTCACTTTTTATTACTTTTAGCAAGCACAATTATCGCCATTGCGATTTGAATTATCGGTATTTGTGTTAAGTTTGATTTGGTCTGGAAATTCATTGTACAGCTCGACCTTGAGTAATAATAATGCATTATTTAAGAAAAGAAACTAAATTATTCTATCTATAAAATATATTATTACCTCTGATTCTTGAACAAGAGCATTTTTAGCAATTGTTTGGAAAGCCAGTTCAACATTCACAGCTTCTTTGGCAGATGTTTCAAAATAGGGAATATTATTTTTTGACTGACACCATTGCTGCGCCCTTTTGCTTGATACCTATTAATCATAAAAATAAATATATGAATGTAACTTACTATAAAGATTCTAACTGTAAAATTATAAATTAAATGCATTGCAGACAATAATTACGAACAATAAAGAATTAAATCTGTGCTAACACTTATTATTTTTAGTCCTCAATTGCACTGCATAATTTTAAAATGATTTATTTCATTCAGCATATAAAAATTCACTTACAGCACGGCTCTCTAGATCAATTTTGTTGCCCAGTACAACAAATGGAAAATTTTCTGGGTCCCGTGGACTGGCTTGAATCAGAAATTCATCTCGCCAGCTATCCAGAGACTTGAATGTATCTGGTGCCGAAACATCGAACACCAGCACACAGCAATCGGCACCTCTGTAGAATGCAACACCCAGAGATTGGAAACGTTCCTGTCCAGCAGTATCCCAAATCTGAAAAATAATAATTGATTAATAAAGATAATAAAAGTATTAAATATATAATTTATTAGTATATGAGGGAGGTAGTATCTTGGAATTTATTCTCTTTCTCCAAAAAGCCTATATGGGTGGTATAGTAGTATTGTTTTTGTATTAGATAATAATAATAGATTAATTTAGATATAAAAACTAGTGGTGTATGGCATCATGCCTTAAGGCAAATTGCTGGAACTTCCCACACTGTAATGAAATGTTTGAGAAATATTAAATGTTTTCAAATAGATTATTATAAATGCTGTAACATTGTCTAATATTTATAAGAATTATATAAACTAAATCACAAAGCCAAAAATATTTATTTAAAGTATATAAGTGAGCTTTAAAACTTTAGCCTGAATTAAAATTGAAATCTAAAATATTTTCGATATACAACAAAAAAAATGAAAAAAAAATTAAAATTAAAAAAAAAAAATCCAAGAGTAATAGTTTTGTCAACACAAGCAGAAAGTTTTTTGAATCATTCAATTCAGATGTTTATTTCTCTCAAAAAGTGCTATTTTTTGTACATTTAGCTCTGTATCTTCGAAATGGCTAGGCCTGCCTTTGCCAAAAGCTAATCACCATTTCTCCTCATCATTACAAATTGAATGTTTTTTGGACCATTCAATTCGCATGCTCCGATTTCTATTTTCTGCTCTCTTTGCTCCGTATCTCCGAAACGGCTGGACCTGCCTTCACCAAAAACTAATCAGCACATCTCCCTACCAATAGGAATCTAATATTTTTTGAACCACTCAAATCAGTTGATCCGTGCTCCCAAAAACGTAGACGAAAAATTGTATCCATACATACATACACACACACACATCCATTTTTTGAAACGTAAATGTTCAGAAACCTTCAAAACGTGAAGAAATGTAAAAATTTTCAATTTCGATTTTTGGAGGATTACAATAACTTACCCTATGGGAAGTTAATAATAAAAAAAATTCATGTTATTTAAAAATATTAAATATAAAATTTATTAGTAGGTGAGAGGGGTATCTGGAAATCCAAATGAAGTAGAAAAAATCAGATTTACTATTGCCATTCTTATTTCAGTACCCATATTGTTCTCATAGCATTCTCGGTCTCTGTTAACCAGTTAGTAAATGTCATCGCTGCCATTTAATATCAAGATGAGGTTTTTGAGTTCTCGACAGGAAAAAATAAATGCTAGAAATCTATTCCACAAGCCCTTCATAAAACATTCATTGTCAATTTCATAATTGATAACAATTGATGAGAAATGTAACTAACACATTAGGTCTATGATATTAGGTTGTCAAATATCTCCCTTCCGCTTTTTTGCTCTTGGTTTATAATACAAAAAGGCGGAAGGGAGATATTTGACAACCTAATATATATGAGTAACCATCAGTTGACACACAAATGGTTCTGATTAATATAGCAAAGTAAAGATAAAAGTATGAACTATTAATAGATAAAAGTAATGATAAATATAATAAATTAATTAAATATTATACCTGCATTGTGATGATTCTGTCATCTACCATAACTTCTTTTGTCAAAAAGTCAGCTCCGATAGTGGCCTTGTATTGGTTTGAAAATCTTTTGTTGACATATTGATTCATTAATGATGTCTTGCCTACACCACTGTTACCCAGAATAATAACTTTTAAGAGCACTTTTTTTCTAGAAGCCATTGCCATTTAATATGCACAAGTATTTAAATAAAAAAAAAATATTAAAAGATCTAGTGTGTAGTTTATAATGAAACGAGTCCGATTATATCATTCGTTTGAATACAAAGCAAGAGTATTGTGATATACGTCTAACTTTTCATAACCAGATGACTAATGCGTGTGACACACAATAGCCTGCGTTAAACTTCCAATAGTCACTGATAACCAGACCAAAGCGAGAAAAACTACTCCGATAGAAATGTTGATAGTACAATTGCACAATTTCAAAAAGTATACGTCAGTATCGCATCGAAACGTTTACCCCTAACACCCGATTAAAAATGAAAGCCCATTCACTGTAAAACTAAAATAAATTAATTGTTAACAGACGAAATCACATTGAATTTGGAACTACGACAATTGTAGGTAATCTACATAAAAATATTGCACCAAATGATAAAATGGCGTATTGTTTCTGAACCTTGAATCAGTTGATTGCTATGCCATAGAGAAGGATAGGCGAGAGAGGGAGGGAAGGAGACCGTGTATCGGAGTTGTGTTAATCATCGTCATGGCAGCTCGATGAGATAAATGACATAGAGGGATCATAGATGGCGGGACGATCTAACTTCACGTTCAGTGCATTTTAAATTTTAACAAGTTGGTATTGGTATTTTGCCTTGAGGCAAGTTACATTAACTTCCCGATATGTTTAAATAATCGATTTAATAAATAAAAAATAAATTAATTTATGAGAAGTTAAAAGTATTCCCAATGGATTCATTACACTTAATTGAAAACGAACGAACGGAGTATTTTCTAAAAGCAAATTTTCAAAAATCAACAATTTTTATAATTGAACCGTAGCACTTCAATGGTTTAGTATGTTCATTAAGACCAAGGTCTCTATCGTTATACCAAGTAAATCGTCTTATTATCATTTTAGCAAACGTCAAATAAAACTACTCATTTTTTCAAACTTTGATGAATTTTCGAAATTAAACTACTTGTCGTAAGGCCGTAATATTTCAGTAAGTTCTATAAGACCGTGATATATATCGCCAAAAAAAGTTCCTTAAAAATCGGCTCAATTTTTTTTTTCAACAGTTAATTTTTGATTTTTTTAAACCGATTCGCTAGTATGAGCTTAAATGTGGACGGAAAGTTTAACACTTTTTTCCCAAATTACAAAGAAACGGCTTGGCAGATCGTCGCACAATACTGACAAACAATACTCCCCATTGTGATACATTAAATAGCTTTTAAATTTTTGAAATCGGTTTAGGCGTTTTCGAGCAAACGTCTATGAAGAAAGTTCTAATTTTGACAAACGCCAAAAAAAACGATACTAATTTTTGCAAACTTTGACAAATTTTCAAAATTAAACGACTTGTCGTAGAACTGTAATATTTTAATATGATCTATAAGACTATGGTATCTACCGTCAAAAAAAAATAATCATAAAAGTCATCGAAAAAATTTTTTTACACTTTATTACAAGAAAACGGCCCGGCCCATCTTTACCAAAAACTAATCAGGTCGATTTCCAACCAATATCTTTCGAACGGTTTTTGAATTTTCAAAATCTATTCAGAATTGCGGGCTAATACGTGGACGAAACATTTTTCACTTTCCTGCTATTTACATAGAAACGACTTGGCCGACCGTCGCGCAAAATTGATAAACGCTAGTCCTCATCGAGATACATCGAATGGCTTTTAAATTGTTGAAATCGGTCCAGTCGTTCTTGAGAAAACGTCGATTTACGGCAAAAAATCTGTTCACAGACGCACACACATACTTTTTCCAAATTTGGTCTCATTCGTTTCAGAATGGCTTGAAACGTCGAGAAAACATAAAATTAGCTATAAAATAAGTGCAGCGTTTTTGGCGAGAACGTGGAGTAAAAATTTTACACTTTTCTACCAATAAAAAAAAACGGCTCGGCCGATCGTTGCGCAAAGCTATTTAACACAAGTCCTTACCGAGTTTGATTAAATGATTTTCAAATATATTAAATCGGTGCAGCAATTTTTGAGAAAACGTCAATTAAAGATCAAATGTTTGCTCCCCCATATACATAGTTTTTACAATTTTGGCGTCTTCATAATGGCTTGAAATGTAGAGAAAATATCAAATCGATCGTCTGGCAAAACTATCTTAATAGACTCAATCCTCACATTTTTTTTGAGAAATATCAATTAAAACCACAGTCCAATTTCATTACATTAAAAGTCATTAATTTCAAAAGTAAAATAATAAATAAACAATTTAAATAAATTTTGAACGTATAATATATTCATTTTTTATATTCAGATCCAAATTAAATGTGGTCAATAAAATATTAAATAATAAAATTCTTTGCATACAAACAATATAAACTGTCATTACAATCTTCAAAATCGTAGTACAAATATAGAATACCATTATCAAATAAAAATATTCATATTTTCACAATATGAGAGTTATCATAATTTTACTAATTATACAAAAAATAAACTATTAATTGGACAATTACAGTTGTTGAAAATACACCTATTTTACAGTCAACATATAAACTTTAACATAGATAAAAACATATAAGCTCGTGAAGTTTTATAAAGATATTTATAAATATTCGTCTCAATTTTGCTTGGGAGATCTACGACGCCAACTGCTTCCAGATTCCTGGCCTGCTTGTTGGTTCATTGAGTTTGTGCATAAATTGTGGATAAATTCTTGAAAATTAGTACTATTGCTGAAAAATTTATACACAAACATAAGAAATTTTAATGTTTTATAAATAAAGATTTAAAAATACATACCTGGCAGGTGTGGTTCTGGACTTGGCTGGCTTGTCACCGAGAACTATCCGATACTGAACATTATGAGAGTTTGCTGTAAGATGCGCTAGAGCAGTTTTTTGACAAGCTGCCCATTCAGATATATCATATATACTGCCTTCCATGCAAGCTAGATACACCCATCGCAAACCCATCATTCTTGTCTCTGCCCAAATATCACCCTGAGAATGAATGAATAAGAATAAGTACGTTTAGGTACAGTTATATCTCGCTTAAGGGGGTATTCTAGTGTAGAGGCATGAATTCTATGTCATTTTTAAATCTATGTAAAAAAGGTAATCAATTTTATTACTATTATTTTTCATAATTTATTTCTCAACGTTACAAAAGTACAGAAAAAAAGTAAAATGAAAGATAAATTTAAAAATAATTTTAAAAATTAGCAGTTGCTGTAGTGGGGTATCTTAAAAAATTGGCATGTGATCTTGTCCACGATTGCAATCCTTCTGGTAATCCAAAAAAAAACTAGTGGAGTGCATGGCATCGTGCATTAAGGCAAATTGCTGAAACTTCCCGTACCGTAATTAAAAATCTTGGTACGGAACCCAGAGAAATTTACACAAACTGTGTACACATTTATTTAATTATTTTTTATATTTAAATCCCTATAAAATATCTGTGAATTTGATGAACATATGTCCAATGAACATTTTTGACCGCCAAATGACATTTTTTTAACCTATTTTTATTGAGCCCATAACCGCTCGACTTGCCTTCTCAAAAATTTAATCAGTTCTTCATCTTGTCAATAGAAGTAAAATGTTTTTTGAATTATTAAAATCGGACGCTCCGTTATCTTAAAAACTGAGTTACCGTTTTTGACACTTTTTGCCCCGTATCTTCGGAACGGCTAGACCTGCCTTCGCCAAAAATCAGCACGTCTCCTTATCAATACGAATCGAATGTTTTCTGAATTATTCAAATCGGTTGATCGGTGTTCCCAAAATCGTCGACGAATATTTTCATAAAGGTAGGTCTAGCGGTTTCGGAGATATGGAGGAAAAAGTAAAAAAATTTGCCATTTGGCGGTCAAAAATGATCATTAGACATATGCACATCAAATTATCAGAGATTTTAACAATAAGTATACATTTTGTTAACATTCCTATGGGTTCCGTACCAATGCTTATGCGTTAGACGGCGGCGCGGCACTTGCGCTGTGACATTTCGTCTCTATGCAGTTCAAGCAGTACGATTGCATTGAAAAAAAGTTCAGAATTTCCAAAATATGTCAAAAATGAAGAAAACATTTTTCTTTTCAAAAAAATTTGTTTTCAAAAAAAACTTTTTTCTTTCAAAAAAAATTTTTTTTTTCAAATAATTTTTTTTTTTCAATAAATAGTAATTTTTTATCAAATTTATATATTTTCAAAAATCCAATTTTTTCGAAGTAATTTTTTTTCAAAAATGTTAATAGTTTTTAAAAAATTGATAATTTTTGGTACGGGAAGTTCCAGCAATTTGCCTTAAGGCACGATGCCCTAATTGCCTTAAGACAGAATTCCACTTACAGCTAGTTTTTTATTTTTATCAAGTTATACCTCTTTAGCTGAGTGTTTGATTTTGCACTGTGCACATTCTCTAGCAGCATAAGCCGGCCTTTTAACAGGTACTCTCAGATGACGTCCATTGCAATTTGTACACCTAAATATTGAAACAATTTACAAATTACTAATAGTATAATATTTTTATAAATTATTTAATCTGTTACCTAATAGTATTTGATGCTCGAACTATTTTTTCTTGTAATTCTGTTAACAACACACTGAATTGATTTAAAGCTGTTTGTGCATCCTGTTGCCTAGCCACTTCAATGTCATATTTAGATCGTTGTTCCTAATTTAAAAATAATACTGACTCATTTTTCATCTCATAAGACTAATGCAAATACTTTATAAGATCTTACAGGTTCTCCAATAGCGTCGAATGCTCTTTGTAAAACTTTAAACGCTTCTTCTGCTTGAGGCATATCATTTTTGTCCGGATGAACAAACATAGCTAAACGTTTGTAATGTTTTCTAATCTGATCACCTGTGCAAGAGGCATCTAAATACAAACAACTAAAAACAATGCAATTTTAACGTTTTGTTGATTGACATTAGTAATAATACTGATAGTTTCTTTATTACCTATATGGATCTTTATCCTTATGCAACAATAAATGATCGATAGCTTCTTCCCTTGTTTTCGCTAAATTTAATATTTCATATTCCAGATTATTTGCTTCTTGGGCACGTTTTAGAAAAGGAATCTTTCTCCAAAATGCAAATTTTGAATTTTCACTCCATAAGTTATCAAAAGAACTATAATAATTATTAAGTATTTTTTTATATTCTATTTCAGAACTAATGTCATGAAATTTTATAACTGATGCTGTATATGCATTCGACACGCTGAAAAATTAAAAAAATTAAGATAAGTTTAACATGAGATTAAAAAAATAAAAATATCTTCAAAGAAGTATTCTGGCCTAGTTATTAACAAAAAAAATCTATTTTGTGTTTTATTTATAACTTGAAAGTTTAAGGGGGTCTTCCTATGTGACGGGTTGAAAAAATCGATTTTTTTTCATAAATTGCTCCCTTAACATGTCTAGAATACGG